GCTTAGCGGAGCCATCCCAGAGGTGCGAGCAATATTCCACGCAGGACCGCACTTGCGTTTTGTACAACAAGCACAGTTGATCGGGCGTGAAAAAACGCCGCACCTTGTTCAGGACTCCGAGTTTGCGTGAAGCTGCTTTGATCAACGTCTCGATGTAGTCCTTTGGATTCAGGTCTGAGCGAACCTCCATACCGAGCATGGTAATATAGCTCTGTAGCGCCAGTGTTGTGCCCTGAAGAGAGGGAAGGGGAAGGAATGGCGATGTTTTTGCCGTGAAAGCGCAAGCCTGAGTTTTCTTGGCATTGAACTCAACCAAGTTCCTGGTACCCCATTCGGAAATGTGGTCCAAAGCCCGATTGAGCTCAACGACAAGATTCTCCCGTTTCTCCATGGTTACTACCTTTCCAGCCGCCGCGTGTCCAAAGTATCTCGCATGCACTGTGCTATCGTCTGCATAGCACTGAATTTTCGCAAGTGGAATCAAATCATTGATATGCAGCAGAAAGAGTGTGGGGGATAGAACGGAGCCCTGAGGAACACCGGCATTCACTGACATGAACTGAGAACTACATCCGTCCGTAAGGACGCGAATTCTACGCTCATGTAGGAAGTCAGCTACCCAGGCGCAGAGCTGAGCAGGCAGACCGTATGCGGGCAGCTTGGAGAGAAGGCTTTTGTGCCAGACCCTGTCAAAAGCCTTGGCGATGTCAAGGCTAATAGCCAGAGACTCTCCCCGCTTGTCTATAGCTTCACCCCATATGTGTGTCACGTACGCTAGAAGGTCACCCGTCGATCGATTCGGTCTAAATCCGTATTGACGATCGTGAATCAGAGAGTAATCTTCTAGGTAGCGGGTCAGATGGTTGTTAAGGACCCTTTCTAAGACTTTACACAACACTGAGGTGACAGCTATCGGCCGATAGTTGGCCGGGTCTGAGCGGTCCCCTTTTTTGGGCACCGGCTGCACATTGGCGTCTCTCCAAGCTTCCGGCACACGCCCCAAAGAGTAAGAGAGTTGGTACAGGCGCGTACACACGGGAGACAACTCCGCTGCACAATGTTTAAGAACAACTGCTGGGATGCCATCAGGTCCACTAGCTTTCCGGACGTCGAGTGATTGCAACTCCGCACGAACATCACGCTGCCTGATTTTAATGTCAGGCATCGTAGTGCCACAATGAGGTAGTGTAGGTGGCAGTGCATTGCAATCACTGATTCGGGAGTTAGCCGCAAAGAGCTTTGCCAACAAATCGGCTTTCTCTTGCGGCTCATGAGCTAGTGACCCATCTGGACATCGCAGAGGTGGCAGCGAGGGCTGGCAAAAGTTGTGTTGCACGGCCTTAGCCAAACGCCAAAAACTACTGGGAGCCCGTAGGGTGCGTTAACAATTCGTGGCCAGTACGTGCTACACGTTGGGCATCCGCTCTGATGTAAGCCTTCTTACAAGACTTGGAAGCACTATTATAGGCAGCTTTCAGTGAGTTAACCCCGGGATCCTTAAGAGCGTGGCCTTTGATCCAAACGCGATATGCCGCCTGCTTACGAGAAACAGCATCGGCACAATCGCGATTGAACCAGCAGTTACGTGTGCCCTTACTGATGAGATCAGAATGTAGGATGTAATACTCCATTCCCATTACGATCTCCTCAGTAATGGCAACGGCGCTGGATGATAGGTCCTTTTCATTGAAGCAGCGCTGCTTCCAAGGGACGGACGCAAAGGAATCGCGCATACCATCCCAATCTGCCGACCCATAGTGCCAGACCCTGCGTTTGACCACTAATGGACGAGGGGTTTTGGCCTGTGGCACCTTGACAGATATCAGGCAATGGTCTGATGAACCCAGCGGGGCTCGAACCACGACCTGATACTCCTGCGGATGGGTCGTAAGCAGAAGGTCTAGTAAAGAAGGCGCTTGACTTGCTATATCTGGGATCCTGGTGGGCTGATCAACCAGTTGGGTCAAGTCATGCGTGAGAGCGAAAGCATGGGCAGAGATCCCTGCATGGTCAGTTTTGGAAGAGCCAAGCCACAAACCGTGGTGGGCGTTAAAGTCTCCCAAAAACACCAGTTCTGCGTTGGGAAATTGCGCCTGGGCATCATCTGCTACCCTACTGAGTTTTCTCAGCGTCGCCGGTGTGAGATCTGTAGAGGCACACGTAGACTCTGGACTGAAGACCAGAGTCTACATGTACCGCCAACATGGAAAAGGAGGGGTCTTCCAGGCAGCTCAAACGGCGACAACAAACATCCCACCCACTTCCCGGCTTCCGATTAAGCTGAAATTTTGCACGCACCTACATATAAGTATATCAATGCAATATTATGATAATATGGAGCTGGAAAGTAACTATAGGAGCTCTGTAATGAAACGACGCAACCCCATTAAGTTTGGAATCCTTTAATTGATTCGTACCTATTGACGATACGAGGCTAAACTCGATGTATAATAGGAACTCTGTTATACATCGAGTTTAGCCTCGTTTGATTTGTTTTGACGAGTACTTTCAAAACTTTATTTCTAAAACCAATGCTAATGTTACAAATTTTGAGAACCCCTAGTAGAAAAGTTTATTTGCCTGTGTAAGGAACTCTCGCTCTTCAATAACTATTCCAAACTTTATTTTTTAACTTTACTTTATTGGTTAGAAATATATAACGATATTTACATTTTGCATGTTTAGTCTAAAGTGTTCAATATATCTGTTATGTTTGTGTGTGTGTACGTGCGTGCGTGCGTGCGTTCACATAAGAAGGAGATAGAAAGCCTCTCTTGAGTTTGTTTCGCCGGTTCTTCTCAGGAAGGTCTCCCAATTTTGGAACCGGTGGTATTTACGGTAGTTAGGGTCAAAAAATAAATAAACTCAAAATTACAAACAAGAATTTTAAATAAAATACTTTATTAAGTAAATTAAATAATAAATTCATACATAGACAATAAAATTTTAAAAATCTTCCAATGAAATAACCGAACGCTCAATATAAGTCTTTCGAAGGTAGCTCGACAATTTTAAATAAAAAATCATTATTCTGACGATGCAGACCTGAAAAGGCTGCGAAACGTCAATAAATAAATAAAGTTTCGTGCATTAACCCGTAAAAACTAGTTTTATATCAATACCTTTGTTGTTCCTTTAGAATTCGTTATAAGTTCTACACGTTTTGACTATAGGATTATAAATAAGAGGTGTTATTTTTAAAAACTTGAATTGCGAATGTATTTGCAAGGCGGGATCTATATAGCGTATTAACATGTATGAGTTATCGATGTATGAATGCAGAAACTTATGAAGGAAAATTAAATCATATCTTTTACGCCTGACTTGTAGGGAGACAACACGAAATTTTGACAATCGGTCTTTATAATTATTAAGGGAACAACCATATTTAAATTTACGAGAAAGGAATCTCAGGAGTTTCCTCTAAACACGTTCAATTCTAGTAACATGTACATCTTAATAGGGCGACCATACAGGGCAACAGTATTCAAGAATACTTCTCGCCAGACTGAAAAAAAGACAGATAATGCTTTATGGCTTTTAAAATTACTTAGTAGATTTAATGATAAATCCCAGCATACTGTTACTTTTCTTTATAATATGATCGTAGTGAGGACGGAAGCTTAACTCATCATCGAAAAACAAACCTAAATCTTTGATTTGATTTGGGAAAATAGGTCCGTTTCATTTGTTATGAATGTGAATTCTGTTTGATTATGAAAGCTTGTTTTTCAATCAGACATTAAATGTACAATTATTTTAAAATACCATATCACGTTATAATTTTGTAAGTTTTCTGTTCATAATATGTGTGTTTATTAAAACAGAGATAAAAAAGAATAGCGCGCGAGATACCCCGAAAATTTATTGACGTAATTACTTCGAAGTTCTGAGTGTGTTCATTATGGTTTCTATAAATAATATCATTCGCGTTTGGGCCGCCACAGTGTATAAGTGCGTGTAACCGTGTGTTAGTTAGTGCTGTCTAAAATGGCCAACAGAAAAACCCTGTTAGGTCTGTTAATTTTAACAATTTCCGTGAGTTTTATAGACTGTAGAGGTGGGAGAGGAGGCGGTGGCCGTAGTGGAGGAAGCCGTAGCCATAGTAGCCACAGTGGATGGAGCTCACACAGCTCTAGTAGTTATAGTAAGCCGTCCTGGTCATCCGGAAGTTCATGGAGTAGTGGCTCCTCTGGTCACAGTTACCCGTCATCGTCTTCAGGACTTTCTGGATCAGGATCATCATGGAATCCTAGCCATTCATCGTCATCCAATTTTGGTTATCCATCTTCATCGTCCGGACTGTCTGGATCTGGCAGTAGATATCCCTATTCGTCGTCAGGATCATCGTGGTTTGGATCCGGGAGTAGCAGCTACCCATCGTCATCCAGTGGATTGTCCGGATCCGGTTCAAAAAGCTACTATCCGTCTTCATCATCAGGATCATCGTGGTCTGGATCAAAAAATAGTAATCCGCACAGTTATCCACCGTCATCTACAGGACTATCGGGATCTGGATCGAGTAGATCGTCAAATTATCACGTCTATTATACACAAAGAGCACCAACATATTATTCAGCACCTCAACATGTTTATATCACACAATACAGAAACTCAGATAGCCGTTATGGAGATTTGTTGACTGGATTATCTTTATACAACTTAGGGCGATCTCACAGACATTATCATGATCATTATTATTACGATGACTTTTACAATAGAAGATATAATACTGCTTATAATAATAACAACTATAATACATACAGTACGCCACAAGATACGGCAACGTGTAGATTAAAAATAAAAGACCACAAAGGTATCGAAACATTAAAAATTCCATGCGAAATCGTTTCTACTTTCACCGAAGACAGCAAAAAGGTTTCTGTATCAAACTTTGTTAATACAACTGTGTGTGTGAATAGTACAATAAAACAAAATAACACCACACCGAGTGTTGTACTTAACCAGAATACTACAGTATCGAATAAGGAACTTGAAATTTCTACGAAACCTACTGAAACGATTTTGTTAGTTAAGCCATTAGTTAAGAATAATATGACAGTAACAAATAGTACAACCGTTCAAAATAACACGGATACCGTGAAAGGTACACAAATAACTAATTTAACAATGACTACTGAAAATAAGGAAACCCAATCTCTCCTCAATGTTTCGTCGCTCTTGAATTCGACTGTTATCAATGAGCCACCTGTTGTCGCAGCGTCCAATGTCACGACAGCGTATGTTACAGCAAATTCTAATGTAACGGTTGTTTATGTCACTAACTGCACTACTATAGAGAAGCAAATTGATCCGTTATCTGTAAAAGGTTCCAAAATTGATCCTTCTGGAAAGGAATGTACTGTTGAAATACAAACGAAAAGCTCCTTATTACATAATAAAATTGATTGCGGAATTTTGATGAAATACGCTAAAATGCCAGAGCCCAAGAAGCAGGACAGTAGTTTGATGCCTTCAAGAGAGAAACTCAAGTCATGGGCATCTAATCCTCCATGGTGGACGTCCTTGTTTATAGCTATATAATAATTTACATCATATTTAGGTTTTAAGCGAAGTGAAGTAAAATTGTATTAATCATTTTAGCTAAATTAAGGAACTCAATAATGAAGCAAGTTTTAATTATATAATTAGAACAATGTTAATTTTAAATCTAGATTTTAGGTACATTGACAGCGTAATTTTAAATAAGCAATTTCCTTAAAATGCAATAATGTATTGGTAGATAGTTTGCAACTGTTATGCATAGTTATATTTATTTATATTTAAACTGTTGTGCATTTTAAATAGACTATAATTTTGTAAAATGCATATTTTATTTTTACTAAAGATATTGCTTGCAGGCTTAGGCCTGAACTTGAAATTGATAGCAGTGTATCCTTGCCATTTTCTATACAAAATGAAACGGAGACTGATGTTAAATTTTGTTTTAAGTTTACAGAATCGTGCCAGAATCGACAGCATTTTATGTCATCTATCACATTAGTAAATCCCTGACTAAACAAAATTATAACCTATTGCTTATAAATGACCTACATTACTATATTTTATTATTTTGTTTGTGTTACAAACGCGATACTACAGCGTGTAAGTGTAAATGAATAACACATTCCTGAATGCTGTCTGTTGATTAACTTTTAATTGGTGAGGTCATTTCAATCGTTGTGCTTTTGGAGTCATGATCAAAGTTGTATTCTTGTTTGATAACAGAATTTATGCAAGAATTTTACACAAATTATATGTATTTATGAGAGTGAAAGTGTATGAAACTAATAAAATTATTTCATCTAATTTTATTGTGTTTAAAGTGGGGCAAGGTATAGTTAGTAAGTACATATCTAATAACAAGTGAACATACAAAAATAAGCTGGCTTAAAATTTGTTAAAAAAATCAAATTCAAAGCTTCCGCTTCATGAAGGTCGCCAATTGTTTGGTCGGCACTCTCACCACAAATGAATTAAAATTCTCGCCGTGGCGGGACTTCAACCACGCAATCACATTTCCACGACGACGACACGTCTGGTGGAACTTGGTCTTTGTTCGAAAGTACTCTGCGATCTCCTCCACTTTCGTGGTGTAATGCAAGTGGGACACATACAGCATCAGATATATTATAGCAGACGAGGTAACCAAATACTTCGGAACAATTCAAAATGTCAATAAGTTCGATACACTACAAGTTACCATTAATATCTGAACATTCATTACTTAATTACATCTGAGTAGATGCTTGTCAATAATTTTTGTACACACAACTAACCAAAAATATCTGAAACATCTGCAATGTTAAGTGTTTCAGATGGGTAAATAATAAATATCCTATAGCAGTTGAGGAAAAAATTCAGTAGGAAGTGCTTTAAACTTTATTATAAATACAATTTGAATAGGAAGTCTTTTACTCAACCGCATCGAATACTTATGGGGTAAAATGGTGCAAGAGTGGGATGGGAATGAATGGACGAACAAACAAAGCATTAGGCCGGGCATTAGGCCGGGATTCCACCAAAGCAGAGATGTGTGCGGTGTGCTGTGTGCTGTGCGAGACGACATGTTTTTTAGCTCGGGGGACTCCGCCAAAGCGGAGATGTGTGCGGTGTGCTATGTGCGAGAAGAGATGTTTTTCAGCTCGGGAGCGAGGCGTTGAGTGCTGGAGTGAGTTGCTGGCGGGCTAGAGGGGGGAGGGTGCAGCGCTCACTGCACGCCGCTCACTTCTCTCGTCTCCACTGCGTGTCGTCTGCGCACAGCTTACATCTCCGTTTCCATCGCGCCATACAAATATTACACATCTCTGCACAGCGATCTCCACTGAAGCTGAGCGGAGAGGAGATGTGTCAATAACACAATTCTATTGCTTGTTTAAAAACATCTCCTCTCCGCTTGTCTCGCCTCCGCTTTGGTGGAGTCCCGGCCTTTAGACGACATGCAAATAACGTTTGGGAATCGTTAAATTATAATCATACCTAACAAATTAGTTCATACGACAATTTATATTTGTCAATTGCAGTAGTTATTTAAATTTAATATTCTTAGGTAAAATTTCTTAGGTAAAATTAAAATTCACGATTATCCGTGTGCATGGACTAAAAAATATTTGCCTTTTTCTGTGAAATTTTAAAAGATGGTCCTGCCTGGTGGTAACAGCTCATAATTAATAATGCCCTCCCAATCCCACCATACATACACACAGCATCACCTAGTTGCGAGTTAACCCGGGTATCGCCAGAGTCTGTGAAGCCTGACCTGCCTGAATAAATAAAAGTTACCTAAATTAAACGTTTACTATCTTCTATAAAAAATACACTCCGGGACTCTTGAATCAAGCCACCTTACATTCCCGGGCCTTTAGCCCAATACACAAAAAATATACAATATAACAAAAAAGTTTTTATGCATTTTTAATGCTGGCATATTTCATCGTCTTTCCCGTATGTATTATTCCAAATTTGAATTTTAGAATTTAAAATAAAGAACAAAAGCACGGTCACTGATTTGAAAAAAATAATGACTGTTGAAAGTTGCTTTTTTAACTCAATTTAATGTCGATTTGGTTTGAATTTTCGCAATTGTTGTAAACCAAAGTTTAGTTTAGTTATTTTTCTATAATTTGAACCGTTTTTGGCTATAAAATTATGGATACTTCACCTGAAGTAGCCGCGCAAGCTGTAGCACTTCTTCAATCTAGGCTAAGTCAGCGAGATGTGAGTCAGTCAGTCGAGATGTCACAACTTCACATAAGTCGTTCCGCTGTTCAAAAAGTGTACCACCGATACCTGGAGACTGGCGGCTTCGTTCGGCGAACAGGAGGATCTCGTTACCGAGTGATAACGGCGAGACAAGATCAATACATTGTCACTACTAGCTTACGAAATCGACGCCTTAACTCTGTTTAGATACAAGAACAGCTCAGGGACTTTCACGGAGTGGCTGTAAGTGCTCGGACCGTTAGAAGGCGACTCAATGCACGTGGTTTAAAGCCCATAAGCCAGCCAATGGACCCAAATTGACACGAGCACACCGAATAGCCCGTCTAGAGTTTGCGCGCGAACATCTAAATTGGACTCGACATCAATGGAGCCAGGTTCTCTTCACCGATGAGTCCAAGATAATGCTATACGGTAATGACGGAAAGAGTACCTTACTCCTGAAGACAGAACGAGCGTTTCGCGCAATGCTGTATTGACGAGGAAGTGAGTTATGGTGGAGTATCATGGACAGTCTGGGGAGGAATCTCTATGGAAGGCAAAACTGAGCTAGAGGTAGTGACGCGACCACGACTGCCGCCGCTAGATGGCAATAGATACATTCGCCAATGTTTAGAGAACCACGTGATGCTATATGCTCGATTTATTGGCCAAGATTTCGTTTTAATGCATGATAATGCAAGGGCCCATACTGCGGTAATCGTCAGGTACTTAAATGACATTGGTATCACTGTTATGAGATGGCCAGCGCGAAGTCCTGATATGAATCCTATAGAGCATCTATGGGATGAGCTGAAGAGGCGTGTTCGTGCTCATCATCCTGCCCCGCAAACCATGCAGGAGCTCAAAAATGTAATTTTGGAAGAATGGGAGGACATTCCTCAATATGTCATAACGACATTGATTAATTCTATGCCAAACCGTATGAGAGCTGTCATAAATGCACTAGGAGGCAATACAAGTTACTGAATAAACATTTCTTATCATGTAAAACATGTGTTTATTTAAAAATCGATTAGATTTTTTTCCTTGAAAAAAGCAAATATGGACTTGTTTCAATGTAACTCGACTTTTTTAATAAACTGTAGTTCAAATTTAGAACAGTGGCACTCTTAATGAATGATGAGTATACCAGCTCCAAAACTGCATCAAAACATTTTCCTTCTACATACATCTTTTATAAGTTACAGTACTCCAAACCAAAAAAATCAAGGTGGCTCGGTTTAGGTGTCCGGGAGTGTATAAACGAATTGCCTAAATGAAAATATCTACGCGCGTACCTTTCGAACGTCAGCACCAAACTGAATAAATATATTTTATGTTTTCGTTATTGTCGGGACAACATTTGACTAGAAGAAAATTTAAAAATCTAACTAATAAAAATATCGCGGTACCTAGCTTATTTATAGTAGTTTTAATAGTTAAATTTTTAAATTTTCTTCTATTAATATACTTATATATGTGTATCAGTCACTAATATCCCCGTAACGTAAGCCTTACAGTGCATACTTTGGGGCCAGGCTAATTGGTGTGAGTATTGGAAATATTTACTTATTTATTTAGGCAGTGTCAGGTTAACATCACGAGAGGACTGCCAAAACTACTTGTTGCGGTTTTTTGATCAGAAGCCCCAAAATTTCTATAGAAATGGGATCATGTCCCTATCTACAAGATGGCAAAAAGTTATTGAATAAAATGACACCTACATACTTTAGCTAAATGTAAATAAACTTTATTAAAAAAAAACATTTAAAATGCGAATAAACTTTTTCCACAACCTAATATATCAAGATTACTAAACCAGTTTATGGTTCATGTTTTTGTTATTACCTAACTAGATAATACTTGTTAACTGTGGACATAGTTTTTACTACATAAAAAAGTAAAATTTGCTTTTACTTGTTCATAAAAAAATAATAAATAAAAAAAGTAAAAATTATAAAAAAGAAATCTCAAACTATGTATTTACTTCTAGAGTTCATAAATATCCTTAGTTATAATTTTGTCAAAGTTGGTATTTGTTATGTTATGATTCCCAGTTTTATCACTATGTTTGTTTATTACAAAATGTGTTATTATTAAAACAGAAGCATAGAGATAAGAATTATTGGAACACGTAAGATTCCCTGAACAATTATTGACGTAATTACTTCGAAGTTCTGAGCGTCTTCATCACAGTTTCTATAAATAATATCATTCGCGTTTGGGCAGCCACAGTGTATAAGTGTGTGCAACCGTGTGTTAGTGCGTTCTGTGCAAAATGGCCAACAGAATAATTCTATTGGGTCTGTTTATTTTAACAATTTCCTTGAGTTTTATAGACTGTAGAGGTGGAAGGAGTAGAGGAGGCGGTAGCCATAGCCATAGTAGCCACAGTAGCCACAGTGGATGGAGCTCACACAGCTCTAGTAGTTATAGTAAGCCATCCTCGTCATCCGGAAGCTCATGGAGTAGTGGCTCAAGTTATAGCTATCCGTCATCGTCTTCAGGGCTTTCTGGTTCAGGATCATCATGGAAACCTAGCTCTTCATCGTCATCCAGTTATGGCTATCCATCTTCATGGTCCGGCCTGTCAGGATCTAGCAGTAGAAACCCCTCTTCATCATCAGGATCATCGTGGTTTGGATCCGGGAGCAGCAGTTATCCATCGTCATCCAGTGGATTGTCTGGGTCTGGATCAAAGAGCAACTATCCGTCTTCATCGTCGGGTTTATCTTGGTTTTCATCAGGTAGTTATCCCAGTTATCCTTCGTCGTCTTCGGGACTTTCGGGGTCAGGAAGTAGTAGTTACCCGTCGTCATCCAGTGGATTGTCTGGATTTGGATCAAATAGCAATTATCCGTCTTCATCATCGGGGTCATCTTGGTTTTCATCAGGTAGTTATCCATCGTCATCTACGGGACTATCTGGATCAGGAAATAGTTATCGTCCATCTTCATCATCAGGATCGTGGTTTGGATCTGGAAGTAGTAGTTATCCATCGTCATCCAGTGGATTGTCTGGGTCTGGATCTAAAAGCAATTATCCATCTTCATCATCAGGATTATCATGGTTTGGATCCGGGAGTAGCAGTTATCCATCGTCATCTAGTGGATTGTCTGGATCTGGATCAAAGAGCAATTACCCATCGTCATCTACGGGACTATCTGGATCAGGAAATAGTTATCGTCCATCTTCATCAAAAAATAATAATCAACCCAGCTATCCACCATCATCTACAGGACTATCAGGATCTGGATCGAGTAGTTATCCATTTGGAAAAATAAACCATAACAAGCCAGCCACTGGTCAAACTCCTCATCACGGCTTTTATGCAACTCAAAGAGCACCAACATATTATTCAGCACCTCAACATGTTTATATCACACAGTACAGAAACTCAGATAGCCGTTATGGAGATATGTTAACTGGATTATCTTTATACAACTTAGGGCGATCTCACAGTCATTACCATGATCATTATTATTACGATGACTTTTACCATAAAAGATACAATCCTGCTAATAATAATGAAAACTTCAATACATACAGTACGCCACAAGAAACGGCAACGTGTAGATTGAAAATAAAAGACCACAATGGTATCGAAACATTAAAAATTCCATGCGAAATCGTTTCTACTTTCACTGAAGATAGCAAAAAGGTTTCTGTATCAAACCTTGTTAATACAACTGTGTGTGTGAATAGCACAATATTACAAAATAACACCATACCAAATGTTGTACTTAACCAGAATACTACAGTATCGAATAAGGAACTTGAAATTTCTACGAAACCTACTGAAACGATTTTGTTAGTTAGGCCATTAGTTAATAATACTGTGACGGTAGCAAACACCACAACCGTTCAAAATAATACGGAGTCCGTGAATGGCACACAAATAACAAATTTAACAATGACTACTGAAAAGATAGAAACCAAATCTTCCCTCAATGTTACGTCGCTCTTGAATTCAACTATTGTCAATATGCCACTTGCTGGTAATAAAGTTGTAGAGTTTAATGTAACGACAGCGAACGTCACAGCAAATTCTAATGGGTCGGTTATTTATGTCACCAACTGCACAACAACAGTGAAGCAAATTGATCCGTTATCTGTAAAAGGTTCCAAAATTGATCCTTCTGGAAAGGAATGTACTATTGAAATACAAACGAAAAGCTCCTTATTACATAATATAATTGATTGCGGAACTTTGATGAAATACGCCAAAATGCCAGAGCCCAAGAAGCAGGACAGTAGTCTAATGCCCTCAAGAGAGAAACTTAAGTCATGGGCTTCTAATCCTCCATGGTGGATGTCCTTATTTATAGCAGTATAATAATTTTATTAAGCAAATCGTGAAAGAATTTACACCATATGTTTGTGTTAAATCCTTGTTAAGGAAAGTGTCTAGAATAATTATATTGATCATTATAAATTAAGGAAATAAGGAATGAAGCAGGTTTAAATTCTATAATTTATACAATGTTATTATTTCCTCTACATTGATAACGTTATTTTAAATAAGTGATTTCCTAATATAATATATTTTATCTTATTATAGGAAGATAGATTTAGTTAATGACTTGCTCATCCGGTAGAATAACATCACAATTGTATTTTTTGTTAATTAAGTTATGAATGTCAAAATATATCTCAAGCGTAAGTGAACCTGGAGAAATAAACTGACAATTGTGTTGCCAAATATTGTTGTTCGTCCAATACAAAATTGACCCCTTCTTGGAGCTATATCAACATAAAGGTAATTTTTATTTTATAATACAGATTTTGGACATAAAACTTGAGAACTGTTTTTGTACGTTTAATACTCCGGATTCAAATTCTTTTTTCCATTTTAGAGAAACGACTACATCATTATATCTTTGCGTCTATCACAACTACAGAAATTGATATTTTTTGTGGAATAACAGCACATTTGGAGGGTGTATACTCAAATTTATTGGTAAATACTATAAAGTTTATACATTTTTAAGTCGCTTATTTTTTCCTAGTGTTATTTATTAGCATTGGAGTAGAACCATACAATGTTTTGTACATCACCTGGAACATCTGGAGCACGTATTATATAATTATGACTAATAATCACAATTAAAGTAAGCTATTAGCTTGGGAGCTAAAGTTGTTTAAAAGTTTCCTTAGCCAGCCCTAGCAGTAAACGGTAACGACTCCAAATGTAAATTTGACTTTAGAGATAAGTAAAGATTCGTATTATTTCTTACTTTTTAGTTTTTTTGTTTTTAAGAAGACGGTGTTTATTTTTATTAGAGCGTTTTTATTTTTGAAAATAAAGTTTTTTATTTTTCACTTTTTATAATCCAGAGTAACATCAACTAACTAAGTATAGGTTTTCTGGCTTGCATTAACCATTTCATATGTCGTAAAATAACTAATTACGAATTGAGTGCTCTTTGAAATTAAGGAGTTTCATTGTTTTCTCCGAAAGTACTGAATAGAACTTCACCAAATAATATGGGACTATTTAGCCAAAAAAAAAACATAAACTTCTCTCGTGTAAAATTAACAAATATGTAAATATGATGATATTTTACGGGATTAGCGATTACTGTTGATGTAATAAATTTAAAATTGACATTAATTCAGAAAATAATGTAATAAAATGTACTTTTTGTATGTTATCGCGTAACGTAAATTAACAATATTATAATCTACTTATGAATAACCTATATTGCTTTATTTTATTATATTGTTTGTGTTACAATCGCGCTACCACAGCGTGTAAGTGTAGATAAATTGCACATTCGTTGATAAACTTTTAATTGGAAAGGTCAATATTTTGTGCTTTTCTAAGTTTCTATGTGCTTGCTCTAAATCTAAGTTGTATTCTTGTTTTGATAATAAAATGTATGTAAGAATTTTAATCCATTTATTTCGAGCGGCCGCCTGCGACTTCGTATTCAAATCTGTTCAGTAGTTTGCGTGTCTTAGTTACGATTACTTATAACACACTTTCATGAATAGGATATGATATCATGACCAAACCGATAAAATTTGCTTTCTAAAACATAAGCAAAAAAAATATTGCTTTAGACGGGTCAAATTTTATGTCTTTTTAAGTAGAAAAATTCTCATAAAATCGATAAAGAAGTTGGTGGTTAGAATAGAGTAGATAACAATATCTTATACACGGATAGATACTTACAGTCAAGCGTATTAAAATTTCATCATAAGGAAAACAAACAAAGGTGGAAATTCATTTCAGAAAGTACGTACGTAGGTAGTATTTTATCCTCGCAAATGTGTTATAAAACGTCGTATGACATACGTGCGGTTTGATAATTACAGCCTCTGCCTTCTTATTTATAGCCCTCACCTACGGCTCGGGCTAACAATATCGCCTCGGCTGTAATTCTCAACTTACCGCACTTATATCATAATGTACTATTATGAAAAAAAAATTTTAGATAAAACACTTATAACTCAAGAACGGCTAGACTGATTTTTATAAGATCTGTTTTTTTATTAATACCAAATATCAATCCTCGAAAAATTGCGGAAGAAAGTTATACAGAAAATCAATTTTAATAATAAATTATGTTTGATATTCCGTGATTCCACATGCACAAAGCTTATTTGTACTGTAAATCAGTTACCTACTACCATATATAGATATTTTAAAATAGAAACCAAAAGGTAAAAATGTATGTATTGTTATTTTAAAGAAAATACTCTAATCATAGGACTCGTTGCAATACTTGCTGTTATTTTGGTAAGGAGATAATTAATAACTTTTACACTCATCATAATTTTGATTTCAACATGACATAATTTTACTCCATTGGGTTTTAGTCTCCAAAAATATAGAACAATCCCTTATTTCCCAAGAAGTCTTAAGATACTACTAAGTTGCTGCGTTTGGAGAATATCGGGCAACTATCTGTTTGAAAATCAACCCCGTTCAAAATTTCGCTAACATGCCATTTTATTTTTTATTTTTTTATTTTATTTTTATTTTATTTTTTTATTTTATTTTATTTTATTAAGAAAACCAACAGCGTATACATCAACAGATACCAGATAGTATTTTACAGGTAAGTATGGCCAATTACAGGTTTCCCTTAATTTAAAAATAGTACGTGTACATCGAAGATGATTAATTCATATGACAACAAATAAATTAAGTAACAGCCATGAAAACATAAAAATAAAAATACAATGTACAAACAATGAACAAACAAGCAACTCCAAGGAGTTTTTAAATGAAGAAAGACATCATTAATACATATACACACTCACATTCCTATACATACGATACACATTCACATAATTATACATAGACACAGATACACACACACACTTTCACTGCAAAAAAAAAACAATACCTTCACATTTCTACACTAACGCACTCACTGATCAGACTCCCTTTAGTGTTTCAACAACTTCCATTTTAAATTTTTCCTTGCTATTTGAAAAGATGTCGATGCTATTAAAATATTGGTTATAAGTTTGAGCCAGTCGCAGCAGAACTGAGTTCTGTAGATAGTTCGTGCGGCACGGTGGAACCTGAAAAACGGTTGTATTGCGGGTTCGGTATTTAGGAATACGATAATTTATTTTAGCTATCAGATGTGGACAATCAATTTTACTATTAACAATGTCATGCAGTAGACCCATATCCAATACAACACGCCTCTGTTCTAATGAAAGAAGACCATGCTCAGAACAACCATCCTTGTAATTGTTAAAGGTTTTTCTACAGCGAAAGTTTATATGTTTGACAAACATTTTCTGTATTCTCTCTAGGCGGTTAATATAGGTAGTATATTGAGGAGACCATATAGGACTCACATACTCTAAAATGCTTCTTACATATGCGAAATAAACTGTTGTGATTACCGATATTTCTGAAAATGGCTTACACACTCGAAGTACAAAGCCAAGATTTCTATACGCCTTCATAACTGTGCTTTCAATGTGATCCGAAAGTATCATTTTTTGATCAAAATGTACTCCTAAGTCCCTAATAATCGACTTTCTGATAATATTTTGTCCATTAAAATAATTTATGACAATAGGCTTTCTCTTCCTTGTAAACGAGATACATTCACATTTAGCTGTATTGACGGTTATATTATTATTGTTGTAATATTCAGATAAGCGATTCAGATCACTTTGCAACAACAGTGAATCCTGAACAGTCTTAATTCGACAAAAAATCTTTTTGTCATCCGCATACATAAGATAATTAGAATGTTCTAAGCATGAACCTATATCGTAGAGGTAAGCATTGTAGAAGAGCGGCCCTAAGTGTGAGCCCTGTGGAACACCTGTAGATATACTAACGTAGTCAGAGCGATAACCACTCATAACTACCGCTTGGGATCGATTTTTTAAGTAAGATTTTACCCAACGGAGCAAATCCCCATGGATACCAAGCACTTCTAGCTTGTTTAGCAGGATCACGTGATCTACGCGATCGAAGGCTTTCTCAAAATCAGTGTAGATCACGTCAACCTGCCCTCCCCCCTCCATATTTTCCAGAACAAAATTCGTAAAACATGCTAAGTTAGTAGCAGTGGATCGCCCCTTCAAAAACCCGTGTTGCTGCCCAGGTATTGAGTTAGACAAAACAGGATAAACTGCATCATACACTATTTTTTCCAATAACTTAGCAGCAGTATTCAAAATAGAAATACCTCTGTAATTTTTAATATCCATACGCGACCCTTTCTTATGCACAGGCACTATGTGGGCGGCCTTCCACTTTTGTGGAAAGATACCCTCTCGAAGAGAACGATTAAAAATGATAGTTAAAGGGACTGCAAGCGGTTTAGCACAAAGGGACCAAAATAAAGGCGGTAACCCATCACTACCCCCACCCTTATTCTTGTCTACGGATTTCAGCATCTTTTCCACTATCGGCAGAGATGTCTGCACATTGCTTACCATGTTATTACACAATGGCAGTTCACAAATAGGGGTGTTGTTATGTAAGGGCTTACCGAAAACACTTTGAAAAAAATTACCAAAGGCGTTACACATGCTTCACGTTTACATTGAGGTACACGTTTTAAAACTATTGTTTTCTCTATATCTATTATACTGATATACTATTGACCTTCATTAATTTAATTAAGCTAAAAATTGAATGATAATTATTAATCATATTTACATTGACTGTTTTATAAAGGCGATACGAAGGTCACCAGGTCAGGTAGTATAATACAATTTAAAAGTGAGATTAATAAGATTTTTACATAATTTTTGACGTCCTTCCAATCATCTAATATAAACTATAGATAAGTAACTTTGCTTTTTAAAATCTGTTCCAACTTCAAATGTTTTCTTGGACATAGAGTAACATTTATTATTCGAAGAGTGGACACTTGTTTGAAAAGTAAGTACTACGTAAATATGAAATAAAACAACTTAGGAACGTAAATAATATTTAAAGAATACTAGCTGTGCCCCGCGGTGTTACCGCGGTTTATTAGGGAAATTTTCCCGCATTAAAACGTAGCCTATGTGTTAATCCAGGCTATATCCAGGGTATCCATAACTTTCGCCTTTATATAGGGTTTTTCAACAAAGAACTTTGTTTTCTAAAACAAAAAAATTAGATGAAGATGTTTTTTTTATTGAATTACAAAGAGAAAAGTTCGGCAATTATGAATGAAAAATTATATCTGGCAAATGTCCACCACGAGCACGCTGACAGATGTCGATTCTCTAATCAAAGTTTTTTTTTATGTTATAGGGGGCATACGAGCAGACGGCTCACCTGATGGTAAGTGATCATCGTCGCCCATGGACACTTGCAACACCAGGAGTATCACAAACACTAATAATAATCACTTTTAATCACTGTTTGGCAAAATCTATCGTTAATCACATCACGGATTTTGAGTTTTAAAGCTGCAATCGATTCAATTGGCCCCGTATAGACTCTATCCTTAACATAGCCCCACAAAAAATAATCTAGTGGTGTTAAATTGGCTGGCCACTTAACAGCTGAGTTTAGTGAAATTATGCGATCGGGAAATTTTATTTGCAATAAATTGATCGTTTCATTGGCTGTGTGACATGTGGCGCCGTCCTATTGAAACCACATATCAGTGATATCCACGTCATCAATAATAGGCCAAAATTCGCCATGTGATGGTTTTGGATAACCCCAATTGTTGAGAACGTTGCGGATTTTTTTTTAAGTGTAAACTTCTTTAGTGTCGTTGTGACTTAAAATTCGATGAAATGAAAGTACAGTATTTGACACAAGATAGGTATCCGTAATTTTATCATTTACTATATGAGACAGATAGCCGAACGGTAATGGTCTTGGGGTCGGAGTTTTTCCTGGTTTTCTTAGTACAAAAGCTTCAATTAACTAATTTTGAATAGTAATATTATGTATATGATGTTGTTCTGTATTTATTTAATGTATATCGTCTGATATGTTTATTACAGTTTATTTCTTGCTCTTTAATCGCTACATAGCTTTTGCTATTCTTCTCAATTCTTTGTAAAATATGTAAATAATTGTTTTTAATTCGTTTTAGTGCCACTATTCATCGAGAAACTAAGCATTTTCTTATACGATTACGTCAGTGCTTTTGAAGCAAAATTAGCATATAAGCATGCGTACTTTATCTGACCTTTAAAATAGTTTGCTTAAAATTTCTTACATGGAACATTGCATATCTGCAATGTGCAAAAACTCTGTTGAAACAGATTTTTTTCTATTTACCCGACTGCGCAATGCAAGAGCGCAGACAGGGTATAGTGTTTAACAGTCTACATAAAATGTTATGTATGTATGTTCCTTTGTGGCACACTAGAGACTAAACGCGTGGACCGAATTTGATGATTCATACACCAATCGATTCGTCTTAATGATGCGAGTCATACAAAAGATATG